TGCTCATGTCACTTTGTCCCTTGCAAAAGCTGTGGTGTTCAGAGCCCGGGGCAGCGTGGCTCACAGGACGCAGGCTTCTCGAGTCGCCGGGTTCTATATGCGCCCTAAGGCGCAGGCCTGGCCTTCCCTTTTGTCCAGAGGGTTAGCACAGACCCCACAGGCCTGGTGGCACTGACCCCTGAGCCTCTGGTGCCTGGGTGCACTGGCCTGCCCTGTCCTTGCCGCCCGCCCGCCCTGGCCAGCCTTTCTCGTCCTGGCCGCGGGTTCTGTGCATCTCGCATCTCCAGGGTGTGTCCAGGGCAGGTGGCCTGCAGGGGCCCTCAGGGTGGTCCCTGCCTCCCAGACTCAGGGCTTCCGCCCTGCCCAGACAGTGGCGAGGCCTCTTCCTTCCACCTCCGGCGTGTTTCCCGTTCCGCCGATGGCGCTGTGGCATTTCTGGGCCTGGCTGAGTGTTCTCAGTGGCGGGATTCGACCCACGCCCAGGCGGCCCCTGGGAGGCTCAGCAGGACGTGGTCACCTCCCAGGCCGTCCCTGCCTTCGGGCCTTGGCCTGCGGAGGCTGCTTGCTTCTCTTGGGGCTCGGGCTTCCCGTGGGCCCTGCTGGGCTGGCCTGGGTTCAAGACGTGTCATTCCAGATGCCAACTTGAGGCCACCTGCAGGCCCACTGCCCCGCTGATGTGCATCTGCCCCAGGCCTAGCCTCCCAGCAGTGTTCCCCGGAGCTCCACGTCACCTGTCGTTTTCAGGGACAGTGTGTTGACTGGCTCAGGTGGCCAGTGCTCCTGGCCCATGCTGAACCTGGATGCTCCCAGGGCTGGCCTAGTCACGGGGTGGGACACCCCTGGTCCTCATGTGTGTGACCTGATGTCTGCTGCTTGGGGTCTGTCTCGGGGCTGCTGACTGTCTTCCCAAACCTGTTGTCCAGAGTGCTGGACAAGTGCTGCCCTGGCCGTCCCCCATGGCCTGGGAGGCTGCCTCCCCGGGTCCCCTACCCGCCCTCCTCCAGCCCCCCTGTCCAGGCTGACCATGCTCTGGGCCTCCTGTGAGCAGGACTGTGGTCCCAGGCTGGGCTGGTGGCCAGACCTGGGCACAGTGTGGCCTTCATGGCCAGCCTGTTGAATTAGCATCCAGAGCTCTCTCTGCCGCGTGTCCCCATTTTCCCCGTAAGTCTTGGGTTGTGACGGAGGGAGGCGGGAGGCCCAGGAGTCATGTGACCAAGGCCCTGGACTCTTAGAGGGGGGCCTGGCCAGCTCCCCGGGCAGAGGCTGGAAGGACCCGCACTGGTGTCACCGCCCGGGAGGGGTGGTGGGTGGGCATGCCGTGGGCGCTTCAGGCCCAGGCCAGGTGGGCTTGCGGGCGCTGCTGTCGCAGCCTGGGGCTTTGGTCCGGGTCCCTCCCCGGGCTGTGGGCCAGCGTGCCGGGAGGGGCGCTGCCTGCCCCGGAGGCCTGGCTCACAGTTTCTTCTGTCTCCCCCCACCCCTTTCCGTCCCTGCAGAAGAAGGCCGAGGCTGCCCACCGGATCCTCGAAGGCTTGGGACCCCAGGTGGAGCTGGTGAGCGGGCCGGGCGGGTGGCAGGGCTGGGGCAGGAGGAAGTCGGCCCGGGCAGTGGGCAGCGGGCTTTCGTCAGGGAGGCAGGA